ATATATATATATTTAAATTGTGTATTAGTATTGAATTAATAATAAAATAATGAATTAAGACTCATAATTTTAATAGAAATAGGATTTTAAATGTAAAGATCATCCTGAAAAGCCTGCACTTTTTTGGTGTAAATCAATTGATTGCAACGAGAATAGAATTTTCTGTCTCATTTGTCAAAAGTAGAATAAACATATTAAACATTATAATGGAGATGTTTTTAGTATTGATAAATTAAATGAATTTTTAATTGAAAAATTAAAATCATCTAAAGGTTTCATTTCAGAATGTGAACTTTAAATGCAATCAACAATTAAATCATATAATAAACTCATTTCTGGTTTATAATATAAATTCTGTGGATTAGAAAATAAAATAAATTAATTTGAAGTTTATTAAAAATAATAAGTTCTTGATTCTTTGATTAGATAAGATGAATTTATGAATTATTTGAAACATAATCTTGAGGGAATTTAATAAAAATTTTAGAAAACCATAGATGATCTTTTTATTAAATTAGAATTACATCTAATTTAATATTAAATAACTGATTAATAGATTAAATTGAATCAAAATGAATATCAAAAAGGTTATTATTCATATTTATATTCTTTTAGGTATATCTTTAAATATCAAAAATGAATAAAATGAAGCAAATTTAAATATTTGATAAATTATTATTAATTGAACCATATAATATAGAAATTATGTATTAAAAAGGTTAATAATTATTATTAATTTAAGCAAATTCATTAATTTAATTAAATAAGTTATAGGATGCATAATAAATCTACTAAGAAATAATTTCAATTAATCCAAAACATGAAATATCTTTATAAAAATTGGGTATTTTGATAATTATAATATTAAGGTGATATCTTATTAAATTAAAAGTTTTATTTGTAAGCTTAACAGTATTATGAAAAATTTATTTCAATAAATTTAAATAATTCAATAGTCTAATTTGGAATAGGTTTTATTTTTATTAATTATCTTAAGGGGAATGTTTAAGATAAACTTATTAATATAATCATGCTTTATAATACTATCTAAAAGCCATTTAATTAGATTCATCTAATAAAGAATTTTTTTATTATTATGGTGAAATTTCAGGATGATCTGATTAATGCTCTTTAAAGAAAGAAACATCGGCTTTATTTAAATAAAGATACAAATATAATGCTAACAAAGCTCGATATTTTCATAGGCAATAAGACAGATCTATTCCGTTAAGTGATAAATTTAATCTCCTTAAGATGCTTATCACAGACTGAGAATCTAATAACAAATGAGATGATAGATTAACTCTGCAATTCTGAGTTTAGTACAATTCGCAAGCTCTAAAGATAAAAACATAGAGGATATAAATATATTGTTTGAATCACAGATCTAATTTAACAAAGATCTGATTTCATAAATGATAATTAAACTATATTATTTAGTCAAAAAGGAGAATAGTTTAAAAATTCTAATGGGGTGAATCATATCTCTACCATGTTATGGCTATGTATCAAGTATACTCACATATTAGAAATCTTAATCAAAAACTAAAAATATTGAACATACAATTCAAATTTGTAAATTCTATATTAGCTTAACATCTAGTGATTTTCTCTATACTTTAAAATAGTTTTGAGAACAGGAAAATTTTTATAAGAATCACCTGAAAATGCTTCCATTAATAAAATTCTTTGATCCCTTAATTATTTTTAAAGCTTATTTATTCATAGAAAATGAAGATTTCTTTTGATATTTTTTTTCTCTTAACATAATTAAAAAACTATCTAAATTTTCAATATTATTCAAAATTTTCAAGCTATGGGAACAATACCTTTCAATTTTCAATGGTTATTAAAAAAATCTTAGTTAATCATAATCTTATTTCTTAACTTGACTAAAAGAATCCTTAAAATTCATTCCCTATTGCATTCAGAATACTATGAATATATCATATAAATACTTGTATTTTAAGTTTTAGTTTTGATTGATCTTAATATTAGGCACCATATTTATTTTCGGTTATAGATATTCAACTGCTCTGATGAGTTTAAAAATTAGATATAGGATCTTTAGAGTCATTTTATTGTTGATTAAAATTAGGTTTGTTGAAAAATTACATTAAATTGAATACACATATTCTATATTTGAAATATGAGTATCTATAAGATTTAATTGACATGAAGCGGTAAAAAGATCTTGTAAATTTATTTTTAATTGGTCTGAGAAGAGTGTAATTTACAATACAACTTGTATGAATTAAATTGAGCATGTATCATCTCAAAAAGTAATGATTACTCTAGCAATATAGTTGCAAATCCTTCATATAAATCATTTTCATTATTTATATTTCCTATATAAAATAGTTTAGAAACCTTCTAAAACTTTTGCTGTTATACTCTTGAGATTTTAAGATGTGATACTAAAGTACTTTTATTCCATTCAAATTCAATCAGTAAAAAACAATAATCTAATTTTTTCAAAAAATTGAGGTTTATAGATAAATTGAAGCACTTATATAAGATATTTTAGTCCTCTTGTTTGAAAGAGTATGAACTTAAATGTAGTCATGATCAAAGCCATTGTATTTCTACATATATTTTAATTTCTTACTACTTATTAATTATAACAACTATTAAATGATGAATAAATCAAAGCCAATAAAAATCCTAAAAGAACTAAGATAGATATATAATATTGAATTCGATAAAAAAAGTTATCTATTTTTAAATGTGATGCAAGATTATTATTCATTAGTGTTTCAATTATCTCATAATTTATGAATGACTTAAATAAAAAATTAAAATATACTAAAATCAATCATTATTTTAACATAAATATTAACAAGAAAAATTGAATACTTAAAATTACCTTAAATTATTTATAGGCTAATCTAAATCATTAGTAATTTTTATATATTGAAGAATTTTAAGGAGGTCTATTATATACTATGTTTATAATTAATAAAACTTTAATATAATTATGATAGCAAGAAGATGCGAACTTTATCTCTTTGTGGACTAAAAAATTAATGAAATTTATAATTTAATGTACACAAAAGTTTCTTAAGAAAAGCATAGAACAAAATCAGAGGCCCTTAAAGATTTATAATAGTTACACTTATGGATTAAAAAATAAAAACGATAATAATTTCAAATAATAAGATGTATAATATATTAAGATAAATAAATTTGACAAATTTAATTGTAAAAAACATGATAAGTTCCGAAAATTTGATTCAAGTAATATCCCAATTTTTAATAAAGTTCTAACTATATTTGCTAATACATAGAAGTTATGAGAACTAAAACAACCTCTCTCTATTAAATGAATATTCAGATCTAAATTTATTAAATGCTATTTATTCTTTATTTATAATCTCATTTTCATTTGATATTTTTTAACAATTCCAACCTAAGATTAGAACTTAAAAAGACTAGATAAATCAAGAATAAGGAAATAAAAAGATAATATTATGTATGATCAAAAAATTAAAATAAAATATTTCTGCTCTTCAAGATAGATGTTCACCAACCAGCCAGGATTTATCCTAAAATACCAAGAATAAATTATAGCTCAAACCATATTCGATGAAGTGTAAGAGCTACCTCTCATTGTGAAATTATTTTAGAAACTTCATTGAGAGGTATGTCAGTCAGTCAAAATGTCTTACTTTCTTCAGTGATCATTCATATCAAAGATTTGTGTTTACTAATTTTTGTTCTTGGTCATTAGAGTTGATATACTTTTTTTTTAATTTGCAAATTGTTAATATATAATTTACTTAGTAGAATTTTATTGATCATAGGAATAAATTAGTATTAAAAATTGGATTGCTTTGATTTATCCATAACTGAAGTATTGAATTAGTTTATTAAACTTATTATTCTTATGATTAATTTCCATTTCAATGATTTTATTAACCTTTTATGATATCATAGAACAAGTATTCCATTATTTATTTATTCTTCTCTTATAATTGAAATGAATAGAGTGGATTAGCTGAGGCTGTAATTAATAGGTTATGAATCAACTTAATAAAAAATTCTCATTCTATTTTATCTTCTGGTTATTTCTAATAAAACAAAAAATAATTAGTTTATAATTTTCTTTCACAACTTAAGTCTTCGATTCCTCATCAAGTAAGTGTTCAGTTAAAAGTTGATAGTATAATTTTTCCTTCACTTCTCCTTTATGATACTTAAGTCTCTAAGTTCCAACAACTTTAGGGATATTCCACTGAAATAATTAATATAATGCGATGGGGTAAGTAAGTCTCCGAATATTTAATTAAAAAATAGATTACACTAATCCTTCTAATTAAAAGAATTTTGATAACACTTTTCTTTGACATAATCTTTTATGTGTAAGGTGGAACATAAGTATGATCATCATCTATGGGTTCTTGTCCTATAGTGCATACTTTTCTCAATTTGAAGGAAGATATAAGTTATTCAGTAAAGGTCCAATTTGTAGGTAATAACCAGAACCTCCTCATTCACCCATTTTTACAATGTATAATTAGAATTCAGTGACTAACACATTTCTACTCTCCTTTCTATTAACAGTCTGTATGAACTTGATGTTAAATTTATAATCATAGACTACCTCTATTCATCTTGGAAATATAAAATATGAAATAGTAGATTTCTAGAAACGAATAACTTTTCAATCAGTAATTACTCAATAAAAGATAAATACTTAAAAGATTATAAAGTTTCTGTAATTATTTTGCTAATGGAGTAATTTTATTATTTGATTATATTTATAGTTTATTATTGACTTAATAAAAATAGTTAATTGATATATGAATGAATTTAAGAATTATAAAAAACCATCGAATTTATTCAATTAGTTTCGAAAGATTTAACGTTAGGATGTTTTTCATATACATCTATTCTTTATATTGAAAGTTTTTACAAAATAAACTTGCAAACCCAAAAATTAAAGGAATATTAATTTCTCTAAAAAATTCTCTTAGATATATTTGATTATGTTGGATATTTCAAGTAAAATCAGAATAAGAATTATAAAATAAT